GTTTTTTGTTTTTGTTTATGTTTTTGTTTTTTTGATGCAAATGAGGAAAAGAGAAAATGTATTCATTAATCCAACCCTGCAATTTACTTCCTTGGCAGAATTTATAATAAAAAACTAAAGAATGAAACAATTTTACATCTACTCCTTTGAACTGTCCTTTCGTAAGCAAAGATCAAAGTAAAAGTAGCACCTGAAGTCAGTGATATAGCATGATCATGGCAAAAACTTTATTCATGTTGGAAATGTTTGTTCTTCTTTCCATATTTATTTTGTTTGTTTTAGTTTATTCCATCCTCTTGTTATTTTATTCATTTCCTTACMGAGTTGAAATTTTTAATTATCTTTTGCAGAGCAGCTTTTTTAATGTTTTTCCCTTGTTTGCGTACTGCGTTATGTTGATGGCAAAGAAAATCCATACTATAGGTAGGCTAGCGAATAAATTTAAGGTAATACAATTGGTATTAAAATAAAAAGACAATAGATAATGTCATTCCTCGCAGCTTCGTTAAAACAAGACCGTCTATTTATGCCGTGGTGTGACCAAGAAGTAACCAACTCCTGACATTATTTGTTAAAGTTCATCATACGAAGAAATCGTTTCATGCGGGCTTTAGGAACCACTGTTTTATGGATCATTTTATTGCGGCCATCGCTTATCTTCCTCAAGTGTATATATTAGTCTTCCGATATTTTTGTCATTTCAATATACTTTAATATCGAATAAGATATCTAATCTAGTCGGCAGGAACACCATTATTTGTCTTGTTAATATATCACATACACATGTCACGAGTTTTAATCTATCGCACGCGCATGYAACGATCCATGACTAGAATCGATATCTGTGTTACAGGATAATTTGTTAACTCCCACTTGTGAAAGACGAAGAAGGATGCCTTAACAATGAGTCATACTGATCGATGTTCAGTCGGGAAATGAAGGTCTGATCTTTTCCTTGATAAAGTATGATATTTTGCTTTGTAAATTGTTTCGTTCAGATTGGTTCCATGTAAAGCTGATAGGAAAGTTATGAGAATCACAGTTGATAGTGTATTTGAATAAGTTGTTTTGTTAAAAACTGAATCAATCAATAAAAAGAAATATAAAATGAATAAGAATTGGAGTGCTTGTGTGAGACACAAAACTAGTACGGCATTTCGTGACTAAGTCTTTATGTAAATATTAGAGTGTGTGACGAAATGTTCATGTAA